GAGAAGCTGGCCTCCCGCCGAGCAGGGAGCCTGATGCAGGGCTCGATCCCAGGACCCTGGGATCATGACCCGAGCCGAAGGCAGACGCTTAACTGACTGAGCCACCCAGGCGCCCAGCCAAGAGCATTTTAAGAAGCAATGAGCTTTTAAATGAACATTTAAATCCTCAGGACAACATGTATTAAAAGTCCCCAGACCTGGGTCTTGGGTCATCCATTTCTTTCTGTGGAGCCTCTGCCCATGATCATGTTCTGTGTGAGCCTGGCCTGCACATAGACATTTCACTTCTGTTTCGAAGAGGGTTGAGTGGGATAGAGAAATTGTGGGGCAGGTAGGTTAGAAACCCAGGGCTAGTTTGATACAAACATCTGAAGTACACGAAGAAACCTCTGATTTCCACTCATTTCCTGCTTTCGGCCTTTCTCTCCCCCCTTTTCCACTAGGGCTCTGACATATACCCCTTCCATATCAGGTGATATCACAGGTAACAATTGGACACATGTTGGGTTCCGAGCCCAGTTCTGCCACTGATTTTTTTTTCCCCCATGCATGACCTTGGGAAAGTCATTTCACCCCAGGCCCCACTCTCCCTTTGTATAAAATAAAGGAGAGAGACTCTAAAATCTCTTAAGTGTTCCTCCAGTTCTAATTGTACTTATTAGGAATTCCTTTATGCTTTCTAGGTGTTTATGCTTTCTAGGTATTTGAAAGAGGGTCACGGGAAGAAGAACCCCAATGCTTCTCTACTGATGGGGTTTCAGACCTCCTTGGTACCTGCTAAAGGTGACACTGCGTTGGTGGGCCTCCCCATTGCCCACTAGACCACGTGTTCCTAAGGAATGGCAAGGGGATCATGAACATTTGCCAAGAGGGCAGGCTGCTCTGTCTGTCTCCTTCTCTATAAACCAGAGCAGTATAGTGGTGGGAAGGAAAATAGATAGTGGCCCTGTCTGCCCTGAGGTCTGCAAAGTATCTTATTGAGAACTTGTGGGGGAGTAACTTCAGACACTTGATGTCAGGGAGAACAGAAGAGAGTTGAATTAGTTGTGAACC